TTGTCTTTAAAAATATCTCATGTATTAATGAGGTAATATAACGTAAGTGACACCATATCAGTATGAATTTGACTTCGTATCTACGATTATAGTCCACTTTTATTCCTTCTTATCTCTCAATCCCAGTTACGAGTAAGGATAATCTACACTCTCATTTGAAATTTCGACCAGCTAAAGTGAAGCGGTTATCATTAGATACGCTATCATAATTCATGATGAAAGGCGCTTTTCGATATTTGTCACTCCCGCTGGATTACACGAAAAACATAAAGATTTTATTTCGAGAGTAGAAAGATTCTACAGGTTTTCAGATTTTGGCGACACCTTAACACGCAGCAAAATTATGATCAAAATACACCGGCCTAGTCAAATCAGAAGTCAGAAATAAAGAGGCTCGAAAAAATATTTTAAAGTCTATTGATATACAGGGAAGTGTTAAATCTAAGCTGGCTAATAGTTTTAAGAGATATGTAGAACGGAAGACCTACTCCTGATCTTGTGCGTCTGCGTGATTGAGCGCCTTCAGTTCGGTGTGTCTATTAAAACCAGTGAGGTCAGCATGAATGTCTAAAAATATAGAACCATTTATTTTGCAGATTTATTTACCACCACAAATACTGTCCTACCATGCTACGAACGTGTCAAGTGTATGGCAGTCAGCAATGATGAAAAACACAGCAAACGTCATAGCTCTAATCAATTCTTTATTATAAACTACTTCAATATACCTGAAAGTGAGTGACAAAGCATACATAGGCGTAATTACTAGCTACGATACACGATGCAACTACAACTTAAGCAAGTACCCTCCAGAAGTATCCCAAGTTGAAAAAGATTTAGGAGTCCTGGTACATTACTATTTGAAGTCTTACGCTAACAGTGACAAAAATACCTTTCGAGCAAACCTTGCGCCGGTAGCATTGAAGCGCATTTTTGGCCAGTTTGACAGAAGGACTTTCCACATAATCTTCAACAGTTTCATTCGTCCCCATTTAGAATACGGAAACATAATGTTCCCTCCGTCACTCCAAAAGGATAAGGACACTTTGGAACGTATCCAACGGCGAGGCACGATATCAGTTCGGGGACCCTCATTCAAGCCTTAAGAACAGAGTCTCCAATGACTGAACCGTTACCCATTGGAGTTAAGGCGTCTTAGAGGTGACCTTCTAGTGGCTTACAGTATCCTAAAGATTTCTAGATATCTTCTTATAAAACCCAATTAAGCTTAGTTCTCAAAAACCAAGCGGAAGTAAAGAGCTCGTTTCAAGAAGAGCAGTGATTTTCGAACTTGTCGTGATTATCCTTGCTTTGTGTACTTGTTGCACCAAAAAGCATTCTTGGTCGACTTTAACTAAAAGTACTTTGGTTAAGGTTTGAAATTTTTGCCAAACTTTCTCCTGTGGTACCTTTTTTACTCATTGACTGACACTCGTGTTCACATTGTGATCATATTGTGTCTTAAACCTTTTTAATCAAAATACAATGGTTAGTAAGACTTATAAATGTGAACAACCAAACTGCTTGTTCCCCGTTGAGGAAGGAATGCAGTGCGATGAATGTAAAAAGTGGCGCCATGAGATGTGTACACGTCTAAGTCCTACGGCGTACAAAAGATGCTGGAAGCCTAACTCGTATTGGCTTTGTATGCTTTGCTGTGCAAATAAGAAGTTACTAATTAAGGAGGCTATGAGCCTATTGGATTTGGCCTGTAAGAAAAACGATGGCGGTTGCGCTGTTAACATGAGCACTGACGGTGAAGAATGTGTCAGTGTAGTACGTGCCGCTTCCGGCCCCGCTAAACACCCGACTGTGATTGGAGAGAAAGTGAAATCTCCGTTAACATCAATGAGGAGTGAAGTGCCGCTTGATATTGACATCGGTAATCATACACCTCTAGTGGAAATTGAAGACCAGGATAAAACCGTCACTGTTCCAAATAGTCCCGGTGTGGCTGTCTTGAGTGATGATAAATGAACTTCAGTACGGAGAAAAAGAAATGAGAAAAGAGCTGTAAGCAAAACGCAGCTGGTCAGCAAGTCATTGAAAGAGACAGTAACAGAAACAAAAACTCCACTACGTGTTAAGACAGACCTCTCTGAGAGGTCAGCCATTTTTCATAAGTTAAGAGAATCTCCCGATTAAGAACCAAAGGCTAGATTTGAACACAATCTCAGTCATATTAAGTCCTTAAAAAGCAAACTAATTCCAGATACAGTTTCAGGAGTTAGTATTTGTAAGCTTTATAGAATACGACAAAAGGTGGAGTTTGAAAGTCCTCAGAAAAACCGCCTCTTGAAGGTTACATTTGCCGCGGTTGAAGGAAGGAACCTGATTCTAGTAACTTACGTAAACTGGTTGTATCCGGAATATACGTCCGTGAGGATCTCAGCCTGGCTGATCGTATTAAGAGACGAGGTGCGGAAGTGGAAATAAATGAGCGTCGCCGAAACGGTGAAAGAAACCTCGTTCTTAAGGGTTTTCAAATTGTAAAAGTTCGGAGCAAAACGATCCCCAAACCACTCTGGGTGGTAAGGGAAAGTTCTCCACAGACTTAAAGGTTTGCTACACAAATGCTCACAGCCTACTAAATCAAATGGCGGAGTTTAAGTCAATGGTAGATAAAGAAAAACCGGATGTTATTGCTGTCTCGGAAACTCGGTTAACTTCAGAAGTATTAGATAATGAAATTCAGTTGACTGGTTTTTTAACCAGTACGGCTGATAGACTAAACCGTAGGGGAGGCGGGGTTATCCTGTACACAAAGTGTTCCCTAACCATAAGAGTAGCTGAGACAGTAGCACATGTTTCAGGGACATGTGAACTGGTGCGGTGTAAGCTGAAATGTAGACGGAAAGATATTGAATTAGTTGTAGTATATCGCAGTCCAGAATGCGTAGCAGATGATTTTCTCCTAAGTAAACTTAAGTCCTGGTGTAACAAGAGAAAAAGCCTCGTAGTAGGCGACTTTGATGCACCGTATATAAACTGGCTTAACTTAGAAGTGGGGTCATCGATAACGTCGTTCGACTGCAAACTGTTAGACACCTCGATTGGATTAGTTTTATTCCAGCACATTAGAAACCCCACAAGATATGACTTGGGAAATTCTTCTTCTCTTTTAGATTTAGTCTTCACACACGGTGATGACGTTGGTCAAATGACTTTTCTCCCACCACTAGGGAGAAGTAGCCATGCAGTCATCTTATTCAAATTCATGACTGAGATTGCCTGTCAAACAGTTGCGCCGGCCCGTCCTAATATACGGAAGGCAGATATGGTGGCAATCAACTCCGCAGCATCGGCTGAAATCTGGGAAATAGACTCAAGAGCATCAGTACAAGAGGCATGGACTCTTTTCAGGCGGTTATACAATCGGGTAACTCAACCATACATACCCTGGACAGTTCCAAAGAAGAAGAATCACGGCCATCCATGGATAGGCCGGGATATTTGACGCTTACCAAGACAAAAGAAGGAATGTTGGGATGTTGCCATCCTCCTTGGCACAGCAGGTACTATGGAACGCTACAGATCGATAAGAAACAAGTGTATAACAAAAATTCAGAAAGCTCAAAGAAAATATGAAATGCAGTTGGCATAATCTGCACTGAAGCAGCCCAAGAGAATATTTTCGTACATAAACTACAGAACAGGGATGCATCATTGGATTACCAACGTAACTAAAGAAGAGAGTGAATCTGTATGTTATTGATCTCTCAAGTATAGTACAGTCTCAAATGTTATTATACGCTGACAACGTAAAGACCTGTCGAGTAATATGTGGAGACTTAAACGCAGGTGCTCTTCAGGCAAACTTAAATAATATGATTAACTGGTCTAAAGAGTGGCTGACGCCTATAAAGTGTGTCTACATGCACTTTGGGGATTCAAAGGCTAATAGGCACAACATAGGGGAAGTGCTATTACCCGTGGTCCGGTTTCATAAGGATCTAGGGGTGACAGTGAGCCATGATCTTAAGACGACAGCTAATTGCCGGGAGGTCGGCGCTAAATGGTTTCAAACCCTCTGGGCTTTAAAACGGACATTCGCCAAGTTAGATACTACCATGTTCACCTCAGTATACACATCCTTAGTGAGAACTAAGCTAGAGGACTGCGCTCTGGCTGCAAGCCCCTGTTTAAAAGGTGACTCGGACATACTAGAAAAAGTACAGAGGGCAGCTGCCCGTGCTGTTCCGGAACTCCAGGGTTTATCATACAAAGAGCGGCTTGAAAAACTGGACCTCTTCACTCTGTTCTATCGCAGACTAAGAGGAGATCTAATTTTGATGTACAGAATACTGAGATATGATTTTGAACCTAACGTTTTCTCTCTCTTTCTTCCCACTAGATCGGGACACCTCAGAGGACATAGCAGGCGAGCAGAAAAGCCAAGAACGAGTAAACTACCCATGGCATACAGGTTTTCACACCGTGTCATCGATATTTGGAACCTGCTGCTTGAAGCAGTGGTGTCCGCACCTTCAATTGACTCATTCAAGAGAAGACTTGACACTCACAGAAGCATGCTAGAAAAGGAATAACATAGGTCGTAGGCCTTCTGTCTTTACTACACAAATCTGAATCTGAAAACGCCCAGAACTGGAAATAACATAGCAGAACGGACTGTATACATACCTTCTACTCCTTAAGAGTTGTCAAATGCTGGAACTCGCTGCAGGCTGAGCTAGTCCAAACGACTTCCCAAGAACCCTTAAAGAGGAAACTTGACATATTCTTGAGGGCTAAGGATAGTGTGTTGCCATGATCTACGAACATTTTTTCTTTTCGTCTTTTATCCATAACATACCTAGGTTCCTGCCTGGAGGTGTCGTTGATCCACTGCTACTAGATACAGAAGCAAGTTAAAAGTAAGTTTCTTCTATTCCATCCAAAAGCATTCGAACCATTCAAATAACCTAATAAAGCTCTCTGAGCTAAGATCATGTGTAGTATTTGAACCATTTACCCTCACCCGGCGGTGGAAGATAAATTAATGCGGTGACAAGGTCATAAAGTGGTGCGTTGCTCAAGCAGTGCTCAGCTGAAGGGTTTCCATCGTCTTATGGGACAAACGAAAATCGTCCATAAATTATAGTCTCACTCAACTTTTCTCCTACAAACCTCTGAGTAAGATGGAATACTTTCCTGTCAGTGTTGTGAATTGTCAAAAAACCTTTCACCTTACGAGATCAAATGATACCTTTAGGTCAAGAATATAAGTGAAGCCAGACAACAGCAAAAAATTGTTTTATAACACGACAAAGAATAAAAGTCTGGACCACACTCAGACCATAAATGTATTTTTGATTTCCTGGGATTTACTATTCTACAGCAAATAATTAGTTATAGCAGATAGCGTCTCGGGCATTAGTTTATTTAAGCTCATTTTTTAGTGGTTATCACAAGACAAGATTTCTTGTACTAATTAAAATAAACAGCAGTTTTGAGATCGTCTATTCTCCATACTTTCAATCATGCTGCAATCAGTGCAACTGACAAGCTGCTATCACCGATTCGAAATATCTGAACGGTCGGCCTACCAATGTCTGTCGCACTTACCCCACTCTTCAAGGTCTTTATAGCTGATACATTGGAGTACTCAGAAATCAGCAAATTTAATAATTGCGTGTAATCACACAAGAAATGGCCTTCATCTCTAATTGGTAAGGTATAATGTGCACACACATAGTCTAGTTAATAAGCTTCCTTCTTATTCAAACTTTTCACTCAAGCAGCCGGTTGTGCGAGTTTATAGTAAGACTTTGTATCAATAACAACAGGTAAGTCACAATACCAAAAAATTGTTGAGACTGCAAGCTCACGAACAGAGAAATTTGATATAGCCATTACTCGTTCTCAATAAGAAGTTTGACAGGAGTTCCTACAAAGCAAATGTCAATCGCCCCCCACTGCACGCACAAACTTTGTGACGCCCCGAAGTCCAACCATTGAACTAGACCCCGCGTACTCCTATGGTTGTATTATCGGTCCGGTTATCACCTGGGGCAATCTAGGGGGAAATAAATAACAAACTTGGAGTCGGAGATCGGAAAAACATATTTAGCGCTTGGATGTTAGTGTCTCACCAATTCTCATAAATATAGTTTTAAGTGGAATAAACCTATTTTCGGTACACAGTAACTGTATTGATAAAATCCAAATTAATACGATTAGGGTCACCGCTGTAATTTACCGATACTCTGCCATGTAAATCTGTATCAGCATCATTGGAACCACTTTAGTACTTAAACTCAGCTAAAATAAGTCAGTGTATCAACATAAATCTACAATCTTTCGGAAACCCAATTGGTAACGTTTTTATCGTCTGAATGAGAAGCCACCACGTTTAAGACAAAATGCACTTTTAGGTCCAGGGTGTGCATAAAGGAAGATCATTTTAAAACATGATAAATGGAACGTGGAATATTTAGTGGACCAGTGTTTACTGCTTCCTCTGCAACATGAAAAACCCGGCTGAAGGAATAGATTTACTACCCCAACCCTTATCGCTGATATATATATATATATGCCTCATCGATTAGAAATGAAAGCTATTTCTTGTGTGGTCACATCCACTTACTATTTTGTTAATTTATGATTACTCCGATATATCACCTTTTCCCCCAGAAAACTGGGTCTGACTCATCAGATTTTAGCTTAAGGCTCTGTAATTGGTGGGAGAGTTACATTAATAGCCTTTTCATTTTTAAGAAGTGTTAGTGGTGTGATGTTAATCGTCAGCTGAGACCTGGTGAATGATAGGTGATTGAAGGGTAGCTGGGTTTTTTTAATTAACCCACCATGTTCAAATTATTAGGCTTAAAAATGATAATTCTTTTATTTCGTTGAGGTGTTTCTACTCACAAGAAAGTAAAATAGGCAAGCAAACCAGGAAATATTTAAGTTTGCGGTACTATTTTGGTTCAAATGGCAACACTTTAACCGTATAAGAGTCAGGAAGTGAGATGTAGTAAAGTGTTTATAAAGTAGTAGTGTTGAAGATTTATTTCAGGCTGTATATCGACAGCTGGTAAGCCTGAAGTTACAAACTTGACAAAAAACATAAATCAGCGATATAGAACCTCGTCAAATAAATTTAGTTTCATTCGACTATAGGATCTTTCAAAACATTCATAAGTCTTTCTCTTGTGAACTGTGAAAATTAGATTTTAAATTCTGGAGAATGCCATTTCTGAAGGGTGGACGTGCTGCGGTGACAAGGACTAAAAAGTACTTAGAAGCTGGACGAATACTTCTGAATGATGGTGTCAAGATTATTGTCATCAATCATGTCCCCGGAGCAGAAATATCACATGGATGTGATGAGTTCATTAAGTGGCATTTACCTCCTTTACAATTCAGAAATCCAAACGTCCAGGTAATCATTTAATTCGCATTTCTAACTCACCAGATAATTACGTTCAAAAATATGTGTCCGACTCCATTTATTAAAATTTATCTTGAAAAAAACGAAGAACAAGTGGTGAATTGTGCCTTTCGAAAGAATTCCGATATCTATGATCACCTAATTACACTTCTTGGGAAAACTGCTTCATCTGAGAGTTCCTTAGTGAATGATTTGACTACAAAAAACCCATCAAGTTTTGGCACAGAGTAATTTTAAATCTAAAAAATCTAACAATTTCTTATTCAACTGTAGGTTCCCGCGCCAATGTATATGCGAATTATACGGTCAAATGCCTTGCTCGTCTAATATTGGGAAACCGAAGCTATGGCCAAAGTTGGAATATACATTGCCTCCGGTGGATACAGAATGGTTTAAAAACGCGACGGATACTAGTGTTACAAATGATGGATAGTCGCTCAGTGTGCGTACATCTGCAACACATCATTACTCTGTTTCATCTTGCGTCGTTCTTCCTCTTTCTAAAGTATAACATATTTAGTACAATTTCTCAGAACATTGGATTTCTTACAAGTTCACGCTATTAAAAATATCTTGTAAGACTATGCAACTATTATCGTTTTAGACATCTTAGCTATGTAGTTACAATGACCCAAGCCTAATTTAAATAGACTCAACAAACTAATTCCGACAGAATAATAAGTCTTTCAACAATAAATTAGTTTGACTTCAGTCCTATGAATCCGCTATATTTGAACAACATGGCTTCTAAATCTTTTAGTTCTTATTTTTTATTCGTAAGATTCGCCTATGTATTTTGACACAATTACCATTGTTTGACTTACTATCAATAAATATTTTGTCGATCTTCCTATCAGTTATCATGTAGTCCTGTTGTTTTGTGGAGCTAAGTTCTGTCTTGTGTTGCTACCGAATAAGTTTTCCCGATCAAATGTCTTTAGCAATTACATTATTACTTATTGGTAAGTAGGAATTTTTAGCAGTCCAATAAAAAGTGGAAACGCATCCCTACACTAATGATAACATTAACATCTACCTGTAAGCTTCAGATAGGACAATTACCAGTACTCCACTTCCAATTAGATCAATAGCTTGAAGACTGTTCACCAATGTGATCTCTATGTAACCATTGAGAAGGCTGGTCGGTTTAAAAAGATTATATTCTCACCACATACTTTTGTAATTAGTTGTTATTAAATATCTTTTTGATATAAAAGTGAAATGTCAGTTTGCAAAATTGCGTCACTTTACGTATTTGAATCTCAAAGTATGGTTTGGATTCCTCGTATGACGAACAGCCCGAGAATTGCTATAAAGCCTGCACTGACTTCTTAATTGCTTAGCACACGCCATAATTTTGCGTAGTTTACGTTGGCATCTGAACCACAGGAATAAGTAAACTTAGCAAAGAGAAATTTTGTCTTAGGACTAAATACGTCCTCGAAATGGTACCTCAAGTGATAAATTTTAACAAAATAGGAGATTTACAGAATGAAATGAACCTCAAAGCGTATGAGTTGCCTGTTGGAATACACTTATTCGAAACAAACTCTTAACAACAAGTTTAAGTATTAATAGAGAGATGCTATGCTATGTGTACTCCTACTGTTAAAACTCTGGATAGGTCAACAACCTCAATGGATCTTTTGTACTTAAATTCACAAAACCACTAAGTGTTGTCGCGCCAAATCAAATTAACCGTCTTTAACATCACTTCTAACGTGTTTGGAGCGTATTTCTCTACCAAATACAAACTGTCGCTTCAGAGGCGACCAGCGTAATCTCCTTGACTAATGATACGGGATGAATTAGTTGAGCATGTTGGTCACTTTGGAAGCTTCGTCAGCCCTGTAAGTCTGACGAAACCTCAAGACAACTCTCGAGGACTCGGCCGGTTCTTGCCAACTTGTGGTGCAGACCAGAAGTCTGTTCGGAAAGTGAAAGGACGAGCATACTGCGAAGTGTTATGAAGCTTTTCAAATCCTTGTCGTTGACATTCATAACTTATTAGTGTCCCGTCATTGGTGTATTCAAAGCACTGGTCGTATGTTTTGAAACCATCAAGTTCAGGAGTAGAGGATTAGGTAGTCATAGAAAATCGATTGATAATGTAATGAATGTTCATAAGTTGAGATGGTTAGTATATGTATTACGCATGCCAGCCCACCAACTGCATCGACGCGCGATGGCTGGTGTAGATGTTTGGAAGGAGGGGCTAAATCAAGACGTGGCTTCAGTACACGAAGACACTGACTAATGGATTGAGCCATGTAGTAGGTGCGAGACACTTGGTTAGGATTCATGTGATTATCGTTACCAACGGTATACAGATCCCCGGTGACAAGGCTCAGGATTATTTACAATGATGCGGGTGTATCCACGTTTTGTCTCCTCTCAGATCGTGAGTTTATGAGAAGTACATGTTTCGTTAGAATCAAAATATCATACCATGCGAATCAGAAATATAAATCACACATTCTCCGGGTCTAAGCTCTTTACAAGTCATGAACTTCCCCTCTTAACGTCTTGACGCATCTACCGTTAAGTTTCTGAATCACGTTACAGATTTTGAATCATTACACTAGTCCATATTTTCTTCCAGAACCGCGTTTTCTACACACTTTCTTTCCTATGACCACCAATATTTTAACTACCTCTATTACCCTAAGGTTTTTAGTGAGAATTTCATCTCGCTGTGATGTGTGGTAACTTGAACCAATGTATACAAGTGTCAGGATCTACGTTCTTTGTAACTGTCTTAAGTGATCCATTTTCGCCCTTCTAAAGCTATCTTCGAATGCTCTTTTAAGAATGTGTTAAGAAGTCAACAAGACGAGAAACAATACCGAAAGTAACAAGGAATCTAAGTATGAGGAGTAAAGATTGAAAGGAAAATGTGATTGAAGGAAGAGATCTATACTTGACTAGAGGTTAAGAGAAAAGTACAAAATGAATATGACTGGGACCGATTTCGCGACGTCAGTCACTAATTACTTCGTAGGTTGTTCAAAACGCAAGAAAGATTGACGCGCGGAGAGGAGGCTGGGTTTCGTTCCAGTCGATGATGTATTGATATTCTCAACCTCCGCCAAATGCTAGACTTACTTACTTACTTACGCCTTTTACTCCTCGTGAAGGAGCATAGGCCACTCACCAGCGTTCTCCATCCAACCCTGTCCTGGGCAATCCTTTCTAGCTCCGTCCAGTTGTAATTCATCCTTTTCATATCTGCTTCTATAATCCGACGCAATGTGTTCTTTGGCCAAATGCTAGAACACAGTCATATTTATCAAAGGCCAACAATCGTAGTGTTTCTTGATGTTAGGGCTGCCTTCGATTCGTCGGACAAGACTGTTCTATGGGATTGTCTATTGAAGAAAGGTGTGCCTGAGAAGTTTATTAACATCTTGAAAGCCCTAGGTAATACAAACACCTCAGGTAGAGTGAGGGCATGCAACCACCTCTCTCCACTGTTCCATTCGAACAGTGGGGTTAGACAGGGCTGCCCAATCTCACCATTCCTCTTCAATTTTGGTACCGATGACGTTCTGAAAACAGCTCTGTAGGCAATGGTGGTGAGGATCTTTCGCCTGGAGAAAGACTACTCGATTTTAAGTATGCAGGTGATATTGTCTTACTGGGCGACGATACCCAAGCCATGCAATCTACACTTAACCAGGTAGCAATTAGTGCCCGTGAGTATGGTATGTGCTTTGCACCTTCGGAGTGCAAAGTACTTCTACAAGATTGGCAGGATTCTGATCCTGTACTCACCCTGGATGGTGAGAAGATAGAAGTAGTCGAGAAGTTTGTGTATCTAGGTAGCTACATAAGTGCTGGTGTTGGCATTGGTGATGAGATCAATGTACGTATAGTGAAAGCCAGAGCGACTTATGCCAATCTGGGCCATCTTTGGCGCCTTCGTGATGTTAGTCTGGCTGTAAAAGGTCGGATCTACAACGCGTCGGTGAGAGTTCTACTCTATACTTGTGAAATCTGGTCTCTCCGAGTTGAGGATGTTAGACGACTCTCTGTGTTCGAACACCGTTGTCTCCGAAGGATTGCTGACATCCAGTGGCAACACCATGTCAGTAATGCAGAGGTTCGGCATCGTGTGTTCGGGCACAGAGACGATAATCCAATTGATGTCACCATCTTGAATCATCGACTTCGGTGGCTCGGACATGTTCTACGAATGTCGTCCCAGAGAATTCCACGCCGTGCATTATTTGCCGATGCTGGGACGGGTTGGGAAATAGCGGAGAGGTGGTCAGTGCATGACATGGTGTCATGGTATGAAAGAAAGCTGCAAAGGACTGGCTTCTGTTGGTCCTTCACGGCTCCCTGTTTAGGGTCCTAGAGATGGTGCAACACAGTGGCTAGAGATGTTATCAGACATGGCTCAGAATAGAAGCCAATGGCGGTCCTCCTGTAACCTTCTTTTACTTTCTTCATTAAAAAAAGTGGTTGTTCCTCCTTTAGCTGAAGGAATTCTTTCTGCTTGTACCTTTCCGTTTCCCCCATTATTACTATTATTATTACACTACCATACACTAATCTGTGGTCGTTATTGTCATTTTTGACGCGCACCTTACATTCCTTATCTGTCCCCATTCTCATTATTGTGTGGCGCATAAGTATCTAGTGCCCCCTTGTACCAATAAATAAGTAAATTTAGATAATGAGATAATTACCCATATAAATAAGATATGGGTTTTCACGTCTCGCCATGAGTGAAGTGAAACAAATGATTCATCAACCGTAGAATTTTGTGAATTCAGCTTAAGTCTCCTTTCTCAATATATTTTCATCTTAGTTTTAGTGCATGCCGCGGATAACTGATGTTTTGGTATACAAATTTAACCTCTGGATATAAAAGAAGTTCAATGTTTAAAATCAGCTTACATTCATGAGTACATCCTAAGGGTTGACTAATATTTTTTAGATGAACTATAATTCGAAAATGTCCGACCCATGTTTGAGATACATGAATGAATATTGCTCAATGAACCTTAGCACACTTAGGTTTGCAAAATGTCATAGTATTTATAGATTCGCGTCCAAACCTAGTTGCTACAAACTCAGGTTGAAGTAGGAAAACAAGTCACAAAGCTTTTTCCGCAAAATATCCACGAGTACCAAGCTTGTATGTGACATTAAAATGAAGAAACTGGTCTATACAATTCATTTGCTAAAAAGGTTTTAGTTTTATTACTTATATTACACAAACTAATTTGCGATATGAATTTGATTTTGCTTCAACTTTTGCAATTGATCTTTTAGTCGAATAAGAAGGGCTGGAAGCCCCTTTGATAGTTGATTGTTCACGCATTTTTGGGAACATGCTAATATTTCACGTTGAGCATTCTTCAGCTGTGACTCAGTTGCATTTGAAGGTAACTTGTCCCGCGCTTGATTGGCGCACTCAGAAGCACACAGTTGTAATCTTGCCTAATCAATAAAAACTTTTTAATATGTGAATCATATTACCTGCTTCAAATTACTAAATAAATCTAATCAAACCTATTTACCAAATATTTTAATACACTATGTGGACGCAAAAACATTAAAAACAACCACTGATATCGTTTTGAGTCCACCAAAACCAAGGATGTATAAGAGATATTTGGGAAGACACATTAAAGGATTCAATTAGAAACTGTTTAAACAAAAAAGACAATATAAAAGATAGGATCTACCATGAAGATACATGTGTATTTTTTTGTGTACTGAATCACGCTTTCTATCATGGATACCCAAACGTTTTAACGCTCTAAGTTGTTGCAGCTAGAGGAAATTTAAAAAAACGTGTGAAAACCAACGTCGATATACGAGTTAGTTTGATGGTCAAACTCACTTGCAACCAATAATAAAACTTCTAACCTCTTTGCTCCCATTTTTGAAAACTAAGGTGGGTTTTATACTTGCTGAAAGTGTGCTGACTTCAATTAATGTACGTTGTTGCACAGGAAAAGATAGATGCAAGATAAACAATCTTATCTCTCAACCACACATAAACGTTTGAAGCTTATTGGGGTTTGCCAAAATACAGGTGAAAATTATGTGCTTCTAAACCCTTTTCTTAAACAGACGGCTCATAGGCACTATTTGTTTGATCTGGTATAAATTGAAAGTTTACAGGAACTATTTAGAGACTGAATTTTAGAGCTTGAATGTTCACACGTCTAGACAATCCAGCGAGATTAAGTTTGTCATTAAGATGTAATAAATAAGGGCAATGTGTTTAAAACAATCTGATTATATAGATTAATCAAAACTCAGAGTCGTCTGTAGAGAACACTTAGGTTTGCTGAAACCTTAGTAATAAAAAGATGAAAATCCCCCTGTCGTCGAGAACAATATGTACTTACGCTAAACCTATACTCGTAGCATCAGTTTAGTCTTGTATGGTTCATATGATTTTTCTGATGCTCTAGTTTAATTTTTAATTCTCATACAAACATCTTCACAGGTTATTATGTGATCGAATTGTTCAAAATATCCTGTACCGATAGAGAACATAGTTCTGACGAAATGTAACTTTGTATTGTATCTTCTAAATTTACCAAGAGACAAAGAGTTGATAAATCCGCAAAAACTGGACCATTACAATTCGATACTCAATTTTACGCGACTTATTTTCAAATCTGAACTGGACATTTATGATGGATTACGGCGATACTACTTTGAGGCAAATGTTTAATAATCATTTCTATGTCATGAGTATAACAGATAAATTTCTGTGAACGGATAGCAAAATCCGAGTGGGAACGGAATTACCGGTATTTTTTATACTCGTAAGAAAGTGTTATTATTATTATTCTAAGCTAATACCTCAACCAATTCAAATATTCTGGAATGTCGTTGGATGATTTGGTTGTACAGAGAACCAAATATATTCAGAACCTGTGATTTAGACCTATTAACTTTTGGTAATCCATATAAAAGTGTCCAAGGACCGTGTGTGTTTACGCGAATCGAAAGTAACTAAGGCGTTGTCTTCAATGATTTTACTATTTATGTGCGTTTTTCCGAACCACATAAGATCAGGCAGAACCTCCTTTATCAGGCTAGTTTAATAATAAATCAATGGATTCAGCACTTAAAGCTGTTTAGTTTGATTTATAATCATCATCGTATAATGAGTTGGTAAGTCTAAATGATCAGAGAGGATTCATTTTGATTAGCCAATCTTTTTATGTTGCAACGCCTTGTTTGTTTACTAGTTTTATAACCATTCTTTAGCCGTATACACCCCATAAATGTTTGAAAACCATTCCCACTTATTTACAGTAAAAACCCTTATAGGTATTCATCTCGGCGTACGAAGTGCATTGAACAACTGACTTCTAAACACCTTACCGGCAGATGTTTTAAAAGATGCAATAAATTAAACCGGTGCAGCCATTTGCAAAGTCAAAACTTCTTACCTGGAACGAGGAGACCTCAGATTGCATTATTTCATGTGCTTTACTTAACGGGACTTCGCACCTTTCTACGCAATGCTGCACTTCAGTAATAGAGGCATCAGGATCTTCACAGCACTTTAAACCACATTGAAAGTAATTTGCCTATATGTTATTGGTAAGTAACTTATTGCTAACCTGTATTTTGCGGAGATAAGCAATATCCAGGTTACCTAATTCTTTTTCAATGGCTTTGTGGTAATCGGTTTGTAATTTGTTGATATCACGCTGAAGCTATAAAAGAAACATATCTTGAAACAGGGAACTTTAAGGAAGAAATTGATTAACATGGGCGATTAAGTTCAGTTATAAATAACCAAAACAAAATGTTTTTTGCTTGGAAGTACTAACATACTTTGCATGTGTAGTTTTAAAACAATGGCAGATCAAATAAAAAGTAAACTCAGTAAAGGTAACTGTAATTTTTGATTTGGAGATCAGAAGTAACATAATATCCTGTGCCACTTGATTATTCTTTGCTGACAGTGTAGGTTCACACTATTCAATAACTTGTCGTAAGTAATCAATCTACGTACTATAGTAAACACTTAAGTTTCTTATAACTACTCAGTTTTGTGATGTCAATAAAGCGGCATAAGCAATTTCGGATTTATTAATTTATTATTTTTAATGATGTAAGTCCGTCCATGTAGTATGTCATTTGAGTTTCCAGCAAAAGTTATTTATACATTTTTAATGCATCTTTAATAGAGAGGAAACGATGACTGAACGAGCACTCACAAAAACAAGTGTGGTAGTTGCCGAGGACGAAATTAATAACAGTAATCACGTGCTACTCTACAATTTACACTTAACAATAGCAATCAGAATATTGAATAACATCTTATTACGATAAACATAGAAAGGGAAGAGAATCGGGAACGTATATAAATGAGTAAGACTGAAGGATACCATAGTAAAGGTTTTTCGGAGATCTACTCTAAATGTGAGGACCCCGTCTACCACCAAAAGATGATCAAAACAAGACAATATTATGAACAGATCAACGAGAAACACTTAAATGCTTTTCTAAGAGGTAAAAACCGGTGATACAGGAAAAGGGTTTTGAGGGCTATGTTTTCTGAATTCCACAACAAAAATATTCCATCACTAAACCTGTGAGAGTGCTTTTATGTTGGGACATACTTAACACAGATTTCAAGTAGTGGTTATTTGTACATAGGAACTCAATTACATGAGATACGACGAAAATTGACATTATTTTTAAAATCCACATAAATGGTTCCTTAACTTCACGTGAAAACAGTAAGGATCAAGTAATGTTGTTTATAGAACGGAAATACAGTTTTCACTCTATAGATATGACCCGTTTTAAAATGCTGAGTTTAGAGTTTATGGATAACAGTAAATTATTGGGGACATTGATAATCTAGTGTAAAGCAAGATATATGTCATATATATGAATTAAAATAGCAAAGGTGATGCAATTATGACCCGTAAAAACAATGAATAAACGAGAAACATAAGCACAGGTATGTAAATTTGAATCAGTGAGATAGAACCAATCAGTGAAGCTTAATAAAATATAGCTTAGGGAAAAAACTAGAACTACGAGACTAAGTCAAAAGCAACATAAGCTAGTGCATAACAACCGTGAATTTCGAATAATCGGGGGATTACGAAAATCTAATGTATTCAGTTCCCTAGATCACTTCCGGACTGAATCATAATACTACGGCAAACAACGACTGGAGACATTTGCATCTTCTAAATAGGAAGAATGAAAGTTTTCGTCTGATTTGGAAGCATTCATAAAATGAATCCAAACAAGTTTGGAAGTAAAATACTATCAATAGTTGACCCTACTATGAATAGTAAAACTTTCAATAATTGTTGTTCTGAAATCCACTTTTATCAATCCGAGTGTACAGCTGAATTAACAGGCTACTTTGACATTCAATTTCAGATAACAATAGCTTTGTATCACTACAAACTTGAAATAGAAATGAACGTGATACTTTCCAAATCCCTACATCAACTGAATATTTGGAATGAAAACTAAGCAAGAAATACGAACACAAATAACAACAGTGTCACGTATAGATACATTATATTAAATAGTGTATTTAATTGCTAAAATGCTGGACAGAAATAACATGTACCTGGCTTTCAGTTATACTGCAAGGTTTAGGTTGCCCAAATTGAAGTAAGCAGGGCAGGGTTTAAACTTATGGCTGGCTGATTGAAACGAGATTACCTAGGTCATTCATAACCAAAGTAGAACCTGACACAAAAAGGTGCTAGTCTAATTTGCCACACCCTATTACCACGAGATGAAATAAAAAAGATAAATAACAAAGGAATTGAAACAGTTGTGGTACTAATGATCATTTTGAACTAAACATTGAGAATATGATTGGAGACAGAATGAAACGATATGTATGAAGGGATACCATAACCCTAAATCTACAAGATGACAAAAAGTGGGTGCATTTGCGCTATTGTGACTGATTCTGAAACATGTTAATCAACGTCTCTGACTACTGGTCGCGTGGATCCCAATCAGGTAATCTGCATCCAATAACACGGTCACTGACTTCATGACCTGATGATAAGTCCCGGTTTTGGACCAACCTAAGCACTAAAAACTTGTTGGACATGAACGAGTAATACTAGCGCCCGAATTTTAGTTCACTGATATATAGATCTTACTATGACTTATCATCACCAAATAGTTTTTGTTAGCGCTCCCCAATTCACTCTTACATAACTTTGTCAAACAGTATTTTACGGACGCACTTCCTGACTAATTTTTGAGGGATTGGTCTCCTCCATTGGAACTTATCCATTCTCATGGAGTGCGCAAACGATATAGTCCTGTGAACTCGGTGAAGAAATTCAGAGCTTTTGAATAACCTTTAGTATCACGGAAAGCATAGTTGGGAAGTGTTTCTTTTCCCCTAAATGCTAGATATTGCTTCGGGACTATTATAGGTCAACGCCTGAATTCGTGATAAGAAAACTGCACCGACTACTTCACTTATCTTGGAAGTCTCATTATGAATGGAGGGTTTGTATTTAACGAAATCTCGGCACGGATTCAGGAAGTTCGATGATCCTTTTCTAAATCAATTCCTTGTGGAGCACGAGAAGTATTTTTCTATCGTCCGAAGGAGAGTAAAGTGTGTAGCGGTTTTCTTTGTATTAATTTATCACTGTAAAACATAGTCCATGAAAGCAGAAGACAGACGTAGGCTACAAACACTAGGTAAGAGGTATCTTTGAAGCATTGCTGGCGTATCGTACGACGATTGAGTGACCAGTAGTGAAGTTAAAACTGAGATATCAAACAACGATGACAAATCAATTGATGAGTAAGAATCTCCACGACTAATGAAGCTGGGACATGTGTCATGCACCTCTGACAATTTCCCACATAGATGTGGAATGTTTAATGAGGTAGGAGGGAGTCAAAGGAAGTTAGAGCGGTCAAATTAGTAGTTAGGATTAGTCTACAAGATCATAAACCGTTTGATTGAGTCAAGTTAATCTGTGGAAGCTACCAGGCTAGACCCTACCCAATACTCGTAATTAATGACTGACAACGTTGGATAATACACCACAAAATCAGTCTCCGACGAATTTATTCTATACTTTTCTTTAAACCTTTAGTCAAGTACTGATCCTAAAGTCCCATCCTTTAACCACATGTTCCTTTCGATCCTTATTTCTCACATTTAGATTTCGATTGCTTTCATCATTACTTCTCATTCTATTTCTGGCCCCGTTGATTTGTTTATGATGTCATGACAAGTTTGGCGAATTTGATTGTTGGATAGTTGTGCCAGGTCCTACTTCGATATTAACTGACTGACTAATAAGACTTAGAATTTCTAAGTCAGGATTTTTGTTATAGTAGCGGCTGTTAATAAAACACTTACTGAGTCTGAAAGTTTATCCATTTAACATTTATTTGTGTAATATGCAGATGGGACCTCTGACAATCCAACAGATGCTTTTCGATTCGGCTGACAGCAGTAGAAGTTTCAGGGACTAGTGAAGAACACTAGACAATCTATAACTAAAAAACAGTAGTAAAATGCATGCACAAAATCATAATAATTACATAAAAAGTGAAAGTCGATAGTGGCTACAAGTCCCGACTTCCTGACAAAAAAAAAAATTTTTAAATGAATTAATTGATCAGATGCTAGCAAAACATTCTTCAATTAAGAAGATATTATGTCTTATGTTTATAGAATGCTACAATGGTGCTACACAGTCTTGTTGGTGGTGCAAGTTAGCAAAATATTTAGCGTTTGATCAGTTCTCAGTGTTAATAACAGTGAAAATGAGTGACATACACTTAGGGAATGTAACCAAACTCATTAATAGAGCGGATGAGTAGCGCAGATAATGCAATAAGACGATCCTGTTGCATTAAACCTCAGTTAAGATAATTAGGTTTCCCTTCAGCAGATGCCAGAAACTGTTAGCTAAAATACATTTATCTTGAAATCCGGTGTAAAATCGTAATACAAAAAGCAACTATTTTGAATGAAAATGATTCCAATCGCGCAATTTGGAGGAAGTAAATAATTTTCTTAACTTAGTACTATTATGACATAAATATATAGGTCAGTCAGTCAGCTACGACGTATGACCAGGCACATGTGCATCGGTTCAAGTTACCACACCTCATTAACACGACAAGATGAACACCGGATTCATAGTAGTTAATTCAGTGGTAGGAATATATAAAAGAAAGATTGCATATAAGGACATAGTACAGGAAGAAAGAATTAGTTCGTAGAAGGAAAGATATAAAGCGATTTTAATCTGATGGATTAAGGGAAGACAGAAAGTGTATACACCTAAGCCATTGTGATCGATTCTGAGCCATGTCACACAGTCTCCAATCATTGGTTACGATAGTCACAGGGACCCCAATCAAGTAGTCTACCAATAGGGCTCAGAGTAGAAGTTAGTGACTTCATAAATATATAGGACTGAGACTTTGAGATCATACATCAGAGTTTGGCACAACTCAGAATAGAAGCCAATGAAAATCAAAATGAAGCACTCTACAGGACTTACTATAAGGACCAGACAGACTTTAACTAACATCTATTTTGGTCGTATTACTACAAAGTTTTTAATATTACTGCTTTTCTTTATTCATGACCTTAATCACTTTAAGTTCTCCACAATATCAAAGCATATAACCGGAGTTTTTAGCTGAACTGTTTTAACAGATAAATGGACTAGGGTGAACTGATTAAAAAAACCGCGAGTTACATTTGAATCAATATATTTTCTTGTCTAAAGAATGGAACCCTATGGTCTATCAGATGTTTTTTCTATACATGCTTAACAAAGTGGCTCAGCCTGTTATAAGCTATAATGAAGCACAGCAGTTACATATAGTTGATGGATGAGTACTGGTACAGTAAAGGCTATAAAGGATATTTTAGACCAGAATATTTCGGACGCTAGGTCCAAGGTTGTTAGTAGGAAGACTATAAATCTACTAAGAATCACTACTAATCCCAAAAGTGACCGAAGTAGCATTGAAAAAGGATAGCAGTAAAAAGAATTAAGTGGCCCCAACACATTATTAGTGTTAGATTGGATAGGGCCACAACCACTTGATTATACCCGGTAATAGAACCTTAGCGAAGTGTCAAGACGAAGTTAAACCTAACGAGAAAGACAGTAGTCAACTAGTTGACAATGGACTTCTCAACGTTTCTGGAAACTTTTAACTAAGGTAGGAAAGGGGATACAAGAACGAAATTCCACGTAATTACCCGGTAGTTGTCAGGTTAGCACGACCAGTCCAATTACATCAGAAGGGTGAGACTGTAATTTATGGACAACCTTTGAGCGACGCTAAAGTGACCTCAAGAGTGAAAAACTACTAATTAGGACTAAATGAGGGTTATAAAACAGTTAGGATTCTTATTTAAAGTTGATGGTTAGGGCTAAAAACTAGATTTAGGGTTTTCATCACGAACTAACATCAGCTATAATGCCAAAACTCTATTTGGCCAGATATATGGATGAATTTCGTGCCCAGATTCGTGACTCGTTATCTTATATCTGATTGGTTCGTCCATAAATTATAGTCTCGCCGTTTGGGCAGCTTTTCGATGTATAATGCCTAAAATATATCAAATGTCTTAGTTGTGTGTACTTCGAACAAACGAGTGTTAAAATACGTATTTCACGTGGACTGTCGTGCATATCTCCACCAGTATTTATCATTTAGTAACAATTCAAATCATGTAATCGACTCATGTGATGTTTAGGATTCGATGACTTCCTAAAACAGACATAATATACAGCAAGTATACTATACTTACGAACTTAGGCTACTCATCATCCGACTAAAAATCGCTGTCCAACTGCCATACAATAAACAATTAAAAGCAATAAAATAGCAGTGAAATATTATATTATACCTTTGGTCTGAATAATTAACCCTTATGTGCCAAATTACCACTTGTAGTAAAGGAAAAAGTCCAAGTTCACATATTAGGAGTCGGGCTAGTGTTCTGAGTTAGGTTCATCACTAAATAACATCAGTTATGAAGCAAAAACGTTAGCGCTAGGTATTGAGTTGAGCTTCAGTTTTAAGTAAACCTACCCGCCTCATTGGCAGCGAACTAATCACTGAACGATTTCCTAGATAAAACCATTGAAACTGTATAAACCATATGGAACTTAAAACTCTATTCCTTTAAACGTACAGAGTAAAATACCGTGAGGCGCGACAGTCAAACGTTTGTAAGTAGCGCCGGTGAGGACAACGATCAAGTAGCATAGTACTCTGATGGAGGTCACTGAGCGCTTGAAGGTCACACTGTAGTGAGCCGAATATTGAATCACTCGACAACTCGTCAGGTTTTGTTGAAGTGGTCAAGTCAAGACATATTTAGGTTTGATTTAAGTTTAGCTGCACTATTTCTGGTTGACTCCATTCTTCAAATCGAGAAAGTGGTTCCATCGTGATGATGCATGATATAGGACGAATCCTCAATTATATTACGCTACAGAGACAATTAAACTTTCGGACAGTTTGGAGACCTGCCTTAAAGAAGTACATAAGGCGATAAGACTTCCGTGACTAATTCATTCTCCAGTATGCACACACTAAGTATGTCGTGTCAGTATGTGAACGGAACAAAAACGACCCAACCGTAAAGCACTTTTTGTGTCGGATATGTTTGTACTTATGGACTTAAACGCAGTACATATGAGTCAGATGTTTGTCTTTAGGATATAGATGATGACAGTGATTAGTATTATTAAGAGGTGCATGCACCCTTTAACTCACCACCACATCTTAGACAAAGAAGACGATATCATCCATCTACGTATGTTTTATTTCAGATGAATTTATCCATCAGATCTAAATATTCCCACTACCAATCTAGATTTTGAGCCAGTGCAATAAATGGTGGGCTAAAGACCACCTGAATTAAAACCCTGCACAACCATCCTTCCACAGAAGGATATATTTCTGTGTATACTTCCAGGCGACAGTTGTTGTCGGGTAAACGACTATATTTAAGATCGTTTATGTTGGGTTATATAGCAACGCCTAGCATTCGACATCTGGTTTCTTGAAAGTTCCACAAAATGCTTACCAAGGAAGATTGCGCCAGATACGATCACAGTTGTATCCAGGTTGTTATACTCACATTCTAATTAATTTAGTGTGGGCATGAAATATATCAGTACATCCAACCAGACACAAAAGTGCTCTAAGCAAATAAGAAAGTACCCGTGATTTGCTTCAGTCTCAGGGAGAAAATAGATAAATATCACGGGTTTTCAGAGTTTACATGTATTGACTCGACTTACCAGACTAATAAAGGACTCCCACAATAGGACGAAACGGCCTTCTAGTGCTCCCAGATTTTGAACGGTCGTCTAACATTAATCGGTTCATGATCTCAATCAAAAACCTAGTAATCTCCACAACCCCTATACTGATCCACTTAGTCGTTACTCATTGTCTTCTGCAAGATCACACTTTTCTGTGACGCGAAGACATAAGACTACTCGAGTACATCAAAATATGATGTGCAGTACATATAATACGGCACTTTCGCCATGGATTCCGCAGAAACTGAAATTCACGCAATACGGTCTACAAACAATCATGCTTACATATAATGTTCGGTCCATGTTTTAAAAGCATCTTCAAGTAAGGTAAGAGTTAACTATACACCACTCTGAGTGAAAGCTAACGTTTTCTTGATACACTATTTTGTAAAAACTGTTCTATCAGCACCTGGATAGTGAGTTTTCAAGGACTTAGCGATGCCATGCACCGCAAAGTAAAATGTCTCCTTTTACTTTGTTTTGAAACAAAAAACAGCTTCAAAAACTTATCTAGAATTAGCTTAAACCTTTGATATTGCACAGCGTAGAAATAATAAGGTGGCACAAAGAGCTGTCTCGATGCCGCAGTGCCGTTGCCACTGGTGTGTGGTCATTAGATGAACTAAGAGCGACCTTATCTATCAAGCATGACTCTAACGGTAAATTGCATCACGGCCAATTTAAGTGAGAGTAAGGTGAATAACGGTAGAACTAACCCATTCTGACTACTTTAAAGTAAATCGAGTGAACTGCGCCGTTAACACCGACGTTGTGACGCGAAGTCCGAATCTGACGGTATTACTGAATAATAATCTAGGCTTGTAGGTATCATTACCAAGGTTTGATTTGATAATTTCGAATAAATTGAGCATTGGGTAGATTGTTATAAATAAATAATATATTTGTAATATCCCAATGAGTAGAAAATTAGATTTTCCGACGTTTCGTGACTCAGTGTAAGTCACTTCTTCAGAGAATAAATAACCAAATTAAAACTAATCCAAGTTTAAATAGTACAACGGAACTATAAGAATAATATTTGATCATGCCACACCATACATCCTACTTG